TTGTTGTTGTTTTGCAAGTGGTGTTACAAAATTTGTATTAGATTTGAATGAATATTGTATAAATTATATTATTTTTTGTTGGTTTAAACTTGATATTAATATAGTGTTAAATTTATGAAAGGCACTATCATGACAAATTATTTTTGTTGGTTTAAATTGGTACTAATCTTATATTAAATTAGTAAAATTAGTCGTGCTATGCGCGATGTCTAAATAGATTAGTTAATAAATTTTATCATTTAGCTTTGTAATTTCAACTCAATTCATGAATTAATTTTATCAAAAAATAAATACTTATACGGTCAAATACCTATACTTTTTTTTAATTGAATAGTACCTATTCTTTTATGTTAGTTATAATATATAATTAAGAATTTATGACTTCGTTATCCATTTGAATGAGTTCTCGAAATTAAATATGGTTAACTTTGATGTTTTGTTAAAAAATTAAAGTGAGGTTTTTAGTCTTTTAATTTTCTAAAAAATATCAAAAGAATTAAAATAGTAATAAATTCAAAAACAGACTTAGAAATATGAAAAATTATTCGTAATAGATAAGCTACCTATAATTTGAAGACTTAAAAAAGTACTTCAATATTTATATATTAAAATGTAAAGTTCTCTATATATATTGATTCTTTGGAAGGAAATGGTGATACATGATTTTAGTTCGGGAAAATAATTTTTAGTGATATAGAATTAACATAAAAATAATATGATTGTTAAAATGCATAATAAAATAAGTAATAAATGAACAATTATAGATGAATGATAAAAGGTTTTATGTTAAGATTAAAAAAAACTTATATATCTACTAAAAACTTATAATTAGACTCTTGAATTTTTTCTAAATAAAGTAAACATAAAAATATTGTTCACAAAAAATTTGAATATTTATAATTATGAACGATAAATAATATTTTCTTATAATTAAAGTGTAGAAGAAAAAGTTAAGTAAATTTTTAGAATCATTATAATGGAGGATGAATGGTTTAGTAATAAGTATATTTGAAATGATTATCTGTATTAATTTTTTCCTTGATAATTTTCTTCTATAATTCTAAGATTTTTTAAAAAAAAATTATTTCAACGCTATTTTTTAGTCTCCCTTTTTTTTCTTTTTTATTTTTTTTAGTTTTTTTAGTCTTTGCTTATTTAGTTCTATTAAGAAAACACAAACAATTAGCAACGTAATTAAGAAAATGAAGTTTGCTCGTCTTTAGTATTTTTACTAATTTATATATATATATATTTTTTTTTTTAAAACAGTAACAATTAGCATCAAATCTTAGCATAATCAAGTTAGCTTGTCTTAAGCTTTTTATTAATTTAAGCAAAATATTTAAATGAATTCTCTTAATTAATTTTTATTATATTTTTCATGATTCATATTTTATTTAAAATTTAAAAATAACTTCATAATAATTTTGATTATCTCCCCCGCTAAGCTTATCTACAAATACATTTTAATATTTTCAAAAAAAAAATTGTCTTACTTTTAGTAATGATCTTGCTCTTATAATTTCATGCAAAAAAACAAATTAATTATTCACTTTTAAA